CATCCCTACAAAGCCGGGACGGAGCACGCCGGGTTCTCACCGGACCAGGCTCTCACATCACCAAGCGCGAAGCGCCGTGAGGTATTTGGCGAGTCGCATGAAGGGTGAGCTGCATCCTGTTAAGGGTGTTCGGCATCTTGTGCTTACTTCCTTGCGTACGGATGACAGCTACGTATGACTTAATTTATTTTCTGGTGCTTTCACTTCCAGAGATAGTTGTAAGCACTGTGTAACTGCCTCGAGGAAGCTTGACCATTTAACACAACGTGGTGCGATCATCCCCCGTTGCGCGGAGTGAGGTTTCTCGACCCCGCACAACATGATCTACTCGACCACCATTATGGTTACCGCAAAAATAAAAAACCAGAGGTAAAAAAAAAAGACGGTAACCTGGTTGCCGAGTTCACGAAGTGAATTGGCTTGTTTTACAACGTCGTTGCCAATCGACGAAAACCCAATCCCGATGGCAAACACCGAGTGGGGGGCTTGTTTTACAACGTCGTTGCCAAGCGACGAAAACCCAAACCCCGATGGCAAACACCGGGGGGGGCGGCTTGTTTTACAACGTCGTCGCCAAGCGACGAAAACCCAACCCCGATGGCAAACACCGAGGGGGGCGGGTGGGGGGGGGTGGCATCTTACGTGATGCAACCTACATTACCAAAAGTACCCCGAAGCAGACCACTGCAAAATCCTCGGCAAGGAACCAGACAGCCATGTACACCTACATACCTCGAAGGTGCAAGGCTTCTCTCCCTCTGTCCTCCCTTGAACGGGCAGCCGCCGCGTTGATGGCTTGGCGCAGGTTCAGCTCGTCTGGGTGCATGCCCGGTGCTTGCGGAACAGTGCATGGTAACGGTGCGGTAACGGAACGGAACGGAACGGAACGGAACGGAACGGTGCACGGTACGGTACGGCATGGTATGGTACGGATACGGTACTGTACGCAACATGCGACAAACAGCAAGGTGTACATTTCACGGAACGGTTTCGGTACGGGAGGGTGGGTGAGCAAACACTCACAGAGGTTGTATGGTAGGTAAACCATGGGTAGGGCGGGGGGCTCCCCCAAGGAAGGGCCAACGCGGCATGGCAC